AAGATGGGAGACTGCACTACACTATCCTTCATACAGTTAGTTGCCCACCGCTGCCTTTCTGAGAAGCTGTATAGCAGACAATTTATTCTGCACCATCACAGAGTAAGCACTGAACACCATGAGAAATGAGTAACACAGTCTATTCTCACTTATAATTCTTCATTTCAAGGAATTCTATGTGGAACTCTAAATACATGCAACAAGTTTATTGATGACAAAGATTGCCTTTGGTTAAATAGTTTCAGTTGCCTTCTTTTTCCTTACATGAACAGTCTTAGTTTTCATTCTTCCCCTAGTCCACTCTCACTACTGCTCGGCAAAGGTGAAGAACCCTTAATCTTCCAAATATTTTAGATCTGAACTCCAAGAAATCTCAGCCAACTACCAATTACAAGAGCTGTAGTCAAAAATAAGTAGAGAAGAAAAGGCTTCCTACTATAGATAGTCTCCAAGTTACGAACAAGATATGTCCCATAGCTTTGTTCTTAAGCTGAATTTGTTTGCAAGCTGGAACAGGTAATTATTTTAACTGTAACCCCATATATATATATATATATATATATATATAGGCGCACCTGGTGGCGCAGCAGGTTAATCTGCTGAGCTGTTCAACTTGCTGTCCGCAAGGTTGGCAGTTCGAATCCAGGGAATGGAATAAGCTACTGCTGTTAGCCCCAGCTTCCGCCAACTTAGTCGTTCGAAAACATGCAAATGTGTGTAGATCCCTATGTAGCACTCCGGCTGGAAGGTAATGACACTCACTCACACACACACATACGCATATATATATGCTTTGAGTTGTTGACTTGTTCTGGAAAGAAGGATTTATGAAAAAGCTCCAGTGGAGACACCTTTCTCCCATGAAAACTCTTACCATAGTTAATTTCCCTCCAAGGAATTGATTTTTTTTTCTCACTTTGTTATCTCAGAATGGAAGAATGATCAAATGAATGTCATAAATTCATTTTGTTGTTGTTCATTCGTTCAGTCATTTCCGACTCTTCGTGACCTCATGGACCAGCCCACGGCAGAGCTCCTTGTCGGCTGTCACCACCCCCAGCTCCTTCAAGGTCAATCCAGTCACTTCAAGGATGCCATCCATCCATCTTGCCCTTTGTCGGCCCCTCTACCTTTTTCCTTCCACTTTCCCCAACATCATTCCCTTCTCTAAGCGTTCCTGTCTTCTCATGATGTGGCCAAAGTACTTCATCTTTGTCTCTACTATCCTTCCCTCCAATAGCAGTCGGGCTTTATTTCCCGAAGTATGGACTGGTTGGATCTTCTCGCACTCCAAGGCACAATCTATATTCATCTACACAATCTATATTCATATGCGTAAAAAATGAACAGGACTATTATGTAGAATTTTTCCTTTTTAAATCTGACCGATTAGCACAAGAATTTTTCCATCATTCACATACCATGAAACCCTCCCTTATACAAACCAAGGGAAAGTTAAGATCTAGCTAGCAAAAAGCCTGAGTCCAGTAAATATTGGATCACTAGGTAGTTGCTCATGACATCCTGTTCTGTTTCTATCCCACCCTCAGTTTCCATTCGTCCTTTCTCAATAGCTGCAGTTTCCCAGCCAAAAATAATCATTGTTTCTTCCTGGAGGGTACATTAAAAAGGATTATTCTAGGAAGGGAGGATCCCTATCAATTTGAAGTCATAACTTATTCAGAGCAATGGAGCTTAGCCATCTCTTTAAAGGAGGATGGAGTTAATTAACTGTTTTTTAAAGCTCAGAGTTCATGAAAAGCAAACCGCTGTGACAATGCATCTTGGCAGCTGACATACCAGCTCAACGAATCCCCAATTTTCAGCCCCATTTGGAACACAATAAATTGCAAAATCAGCTCCATCAAAACAGTGATTCCATGCTGGCAGCCTCCTGGATTTTGGGTCCACATGTTTCTATTTTTATACCCATTCCTGCCTGATATCTGGTTGCTGAGACATTTTTGTATTTTAAAAAGAAGCAAACTATCCTGCCCCCACCCTGCCCCCTGCAAAGGAATGTCACATTCAAACACAGGCGGGCAATAGATTTTCATTAGTATTTCTGTACATGAAACAAACACGCTTGTAGGTTACTCTCCGTCCTTTGAAACCAATCCTGCCAAAAGAAAGGAAAAAACAATCCAAGACAATCTCTGAAGTGGGAGGAATTTTATGGCTTCCTTTCATTTCATTACAGATGAGCTGAAGCTGTTGGGTTATGATGGAACCAAAACCAGACAATTCCCTCCCACTCCAGTTGTTAAGTCTGCAAACACTTGGTTAATGATCTGAGGTACTAACAGTTACAATTTCCAGACACATAATAGTGTTTCTTTCTTTTCTTAAGTTTTTTCCTATTTTTTCCCTAGCTTAGCTAGCCCGACACACAAGAGAAAGTTGGATCAACCAAACCAACTAGTTGCAAACTGCAAAATCTAGTGTAACTAAGCTCTTTGCATATTTTGTTATGACAGCTTGTTCTGTCTCCACTACTGTTTCAGAACTCAGGCCACATCTACATTGCCACATAATACAGTTTCAAATTATATTAGAGCCTCAGTCTGGCCTTGAAGAAAATTCATTTGCAGCACATTGGAAGAGGCCCATCCATGCCTTCCCCACAGAAGATTAAATATAAATCTATCAATTATACTTAATTAATATCTAAGTTCCATCTCAATAGAATCTTGTAAGCTTCCCTCCTGGACATAAGCATCCCACCTTATCCAAAAAGCTCTAGCACTTCAGCACACCCCTAAGGAAAAGAAGAGCCAATGATGGCATTAAGGGACACTTCTTCTAATACCAATAGCAAGCAAATGAAAATTCTAAAAAGTATTGTTCCCATCCCAAAAGATTCCTGAGTGTTCATACTTGGCACCCAGCTTAATTCATGGCATCCAACCAAAAAGATATGAAAAGTCTAGACAGTTTTGTGGAAAAGCTGGATTCACATCCTCTATGAAGCACACTGGTTGAATCTAGCTTTCCGCCCAGCCTAACTTGCAATCGGATAAAAGTGTATGGATACAATGAGAAAACATCATGTCAGACTCTGAGTTTAAGGAAGAAAAGATTGAAAATAAACCCATGGCACCACCAATTTCAGAAAGTGATTTTGTTAAAGAACATATAGGTCCCTGTCCCATGAAACATATGGTCTAAGATTTGACATACATGAAATCAAATAAAGTGGAGCAGCAAGAGGGAGCAGTAGGCAAGAGTGATGAAGGACAGTTATTAAGAAGTCTGTTAGGTTACTCAGGTTTAATAATTCACTGGCAGAGCAAGCAACCTGGTTTTCATGATACATTTCTGTAGATTTTTCTCAACCTCCTTGGTGAGTTGGACTACAAGTCCCACTATTACCAGGCTATTTTGGGTGAGATGATGGAAGGTGATTCCCACCACCATTTGGGTGGCGGTTGGGTTACTAAGCTTGTAAGAGTCCCTCTACTTAAGAAAGAGAGAGCCAACCCCACAGAGCACTTATGGAGGAGTTTTTCAGGCAGAGAAGAACACATTTGCCTTCAGTCACTAAATTGGGACTTACTATTGTCTCACAACCTGACCTAAGTTAGGTAGCAGATAGCTGTCCACCATCATTCAAATATATGGCTAAAAACAGTATGTAGCAGGTTGACAAATATATTTTAAACCCCACAATTCATTCTATATCAGTTGTTCTCAACCTGTGGGTCCCCAGGTGTTTTGGCCTATAACTCCCAGAAATCTAAGCTAGTTTACCAGCTGTTAGGATTTCTGGGAGTTGAAGGCCAAAACATCTAGGGACCCACAGGTTGAGAACCACTGTTCTATGTCATTCATTAGAGAAAAAAATCCCAAGGGAGTTTACAGTATCTATGAAAATACATAACAACAGGAGTAAGAGAGTGACAGCATAAATTACATACATGCAAATCAACACAGAAGGATAGAATGCTCACTAAAACTACCAATGCTTAACAATATATGACATCATTCTTAAGCTTTTGGGAAAGTAATCCATAACTAGGACACATTAGATGAACACCACCTTCAATCCTCAGAATCACCATAAATTCTATTTCAGATACCAGGAGCATCTGAAGAAGGTTCTCTGTGAAAGATCTTAATACTTGGTTGGACTGATATCATGCTTTCATATCAATATTATGAGAATGAAAGAAGCAGTTCTTAAACACCTTCCCATTGTTGTGATTCCTTCACCAGGCTTTTTAGGAATTGACTGAGGACTTTTAGTGGTGTTGTTTTGTGGTGTGCTCTTCTGTTGATTTCCCTGTTTTGTCTTTTAACTGATTCATTTTTAAAGCTTCTGTTTCTATGTACTGTTGAGTTACATTTGCCTAACTGTCTTTAATTGTGTTTGCTTTACTTTTGTAAAGACACAAAAGACACCAAAGGTAGCTCGAATGGGAGGCAGTCATCATTATCATTAGGGTTTGAGATTCTGCTAGCACAAACCCAAGAAATCTTGCAGATTGTGTAATTGCACTGGAAAAGAGCAGCGCTCATGACAATAGCTCTACTAAAGTAAAGGGAAGGACCTGAGCAAGAAAGGAAGCAATTCAAGACTGGTTGCCTTCCCTGTTTACATGTGCTTCAAGCAGTTAAAAAAATACCACTGCACACATGTATATATAGGTAGTTCCATTGTTTTAACTGTTTGAAATCCCCAAAGAACAAGTCTGCTTAAAATGCAACATTTTATGCTGCCTTCAAATAACATTCAGACACAAACACCAATAGAAGGATTTCTGAGTTGCAGAATGATCCTCCAGAACCATTTCCTCTCTAGTTATATTGTTTTTGTTTGTCAAATTTACAACTGATTTTGGCTGATCTTGGGAATCCAGACATTGTTTATGTTCACATAAGGAAGACTGATTGCTGAAATGTATAGTGTGTCATCATGACCTGTATGGAGAACTGAATAGTGAATATATTCTCTATTAAAAAGTCATTAAAATGCTTTGAAAAAGAAAGATGTTTTTTACCTTCATAGCAGGGCAATAGCTTTCTGCCATTGGGCCCCAGATTGGGTGGGATGATGTTGCAAAACCCATGAGGAAGGATGTACTCTGTCTCATAGTAGATGTTCTTCCAACGGTGCGCACAGGCCTGAGATGAAGAAGTAGGAAAAATAAATTTTCACACAAAGTTGCACTATATCAGTGGCTGGAACATGAAGTTGTTTCATTTCTTTCAAAGAGCTGAAGGTTGAGGAATGAAGATATCATTTCTATATCTACAAATGTACATCAAAACAAAGCTTTAACAATGAAAATTAAATTTTAAAACAAAAAAAAATTATTTGCAGAAATATCCCACCTTATAAAGCATGTAGATGCAAAACACTAAGGACTTCATCAATAAGGACCTCATCACAAGTGTCCGCACACTTTTGAAACAGTTCCCTGGTGAGGCATCGAACAATGCAGACAGATTTCCACCTGCCACATTTCTAAAACAGTTCACATTCTTAGTGAACTGTTTTAGAAGTGTGTGGAAACAGGTTGGGGGGGAGGGGCAGGAGAGGGGAAGAAATTGTCTTTTGGGCTCATGATTTGTGTAGAAATGGGAAAAAGTTAGGGAAAATCTAATGGTATGGGATCTGTCAAATTTGGCCTTAATGAATCGTTTCAGCGTTGCGGAATGATGGGCATTCCTTTTGGCGGTCTCCTACCAAGCACTGATATTTCTCTTCCCAAATCCTACTTCATGAGCCTGGCATGATATTTTTTTTAAAATTCATTTAATTATTAGACATACCAAATTTTTAAGATATCACCACAGTTTTTCCTGTCATTTCTCCTTCATAGTAATCTTGGCTTTTGATATTGTGCTATTTCACATTGGAGAAGACTGAGATTGGGAGCAAAGGATATAGGAGCCCAGAGAAGAGGGATCTGCCTTACGAATGATGCCTCCTGTCTCCTTGAAAGTAGAAGGATTGAAAGGGAACATAGAAGAACCCAGGAGTGGTCTGATTTAAAAATAGTGCCTTAGGTCTTCTCTAGAGTAAAGGAATTGCAAGAGAACATAAAGGAGCCCGGGAGTGGTCTGATTTAAGAATGATGCTTTGGGTCTCCTCTAAAGTAATGGGATTGAAATGGAACATAAAAGAGCCCAGAAGTGATGTCTTAAGATTATTATTATTATTATTATTATTATTATTATTATTATTATTAATACATCACACAGTCCTAGACGCTTGGGAAGTGTTCGACTTGTGATTTTGTGATACGAAATCCAGCATATAGATCTCGTTTGCTGTGACATATGATGCTTTTGTGTCAATAATAATAAAAATCTTTATTTATACCCTGCCACCATCTCCCCAACGGGAGATGGTGGCGGCTTACATGAGGCCAAGCCCAGACAACATATTACACCAAAATAAAACCAAAACATAAGCAACAAGCAACAGCATCAAAAATACATAAAAAACATATGAATACAGTAACAATATAACATTACAGTAAACACAATCACGGTGACAGTGGGCAGAGAGCCACATGTACAAGATAAAACGTTTAAAAACTTGAATGAGATAAGAAGAGGAGCAAGTTATTTGCAGGAGGGAGCTCATACAAAAACACAGGGTTATGGAACCAAACTATCCCATTGGGGGGGGGGGGGGGTACTCCAGTGACAGAAGCATTTAGGGGAGCGGTAGTGTCATGTTGTACACCTACTCGCCAAAGGCGCAGCAGAAGAGCCAGGTTTTAAGGTTCTTTTTAAAGGTTTCTAGTGTAGGGGCTTTCCTGATCTCTCAAGGTAATGAGTTCCAGAGTCGGGGAGCCACAGAGGAGAAGGCTCTTTCCCTTGTGCCCACAAGACGAGCTTGTGAGACTGGCAGGGGTGAAAGGAGGGCTTCCCCCAAAGATTGAAGGGCCCGGGTTGGTTCATGGAGAGAGATACGGTCATGAAGGTAGGCGGGTCCCAAACCGTTTAGTGATAACCTGCACCTTGAAATGGTGCCTTGTGTCTCCTCTAAGCAGATGGTTGATGTGAGAGGAGACGATTCTGTGTGATGTAGGTAAGTAAATTCTCTGTCTTCTTTAAAGAACAGACTCTTGTGCAAAGAAGATGATCTACATGTAAGAAGACAATTCCCCTTGCTTTCGCCCATTTTCCCCAGCTCCGTCTAGAACCTAAGAGCATTCCCAGGCAAATGCCAATTTGCAAATTTCCATTAGTAATGCTTGTAAAAGTGGTATGACTAAAAGAAGGATCTCGGGGCTTGGGAAGGTTTATGTAGAAACACAGAATGAAGAGACGCCAATCTCAATGTCAATGAGGAAACAAATAGGATTTTCAGCAAAGTTTAAAGGCTCACTCTTTCCTCTGTTTAAGATTAAATTGCAAAAAGCAACACATTCAGGAGGATTTGTTGTTGTACTTGGACACCTATGGTGATATTATCAACACAGACCACATGCTTCAGACTCATTTCTGTTCAACATGCTTTACTCAGCAAAGGGAATGCCGTTTTTTTACTGAATAAAGCTGCTTCTCACTTCCGCCCATTAATACTCCTGGCCATAAGCATCTCTGTGAAGCTTGCCCATGTCAGAACAAGGAATGCAGCTCTACAAAGGATGTTTATAATGGCACTCAGCTTTGACAGCCAGATGTATGTAAGGAAGCTCATAAGAAACTGAACTCAGTTATTTGCTCTTTTAAGCACCCCCAGTTATGGTTTTAATTCCCTACACACACTGCATTCAGAATCTTTTTTAAAAAAAATCATGAAATATTTATATCTAGAGAGTCCAGGAAATAGCTTCTCTCATTGAGCATTTCCACTGTGAATACAAAGGCTTCTGCTATTCTCTTATCACAGATGATAACCAAGTCCAACTCTACTATTAAGGATCAGACATGCCCCTGATCTACTCATTGGGCTATCATTTCACAAGCTTTGGTCTCCGAATATTTTGAACTTCAGTTCTCTGTAGGCCCAACTAACATAGCCAATGATCAGGAATACTAGAAGCTGCCGTTGATCTGGGTAGATCAGGCTGGGAACTATTGCACTAGACTCTTAAATCAAAGGTAGGCAAAATCTATTCTACAGGTTATATGTGGCCCATGGGCGGCTTTTGTGGCTCACAGGTGTAACAAATTGCTTTTTGACAAAATGCCCCAAATGCACTCTAGGGAATATGGAGGGCCTCTCCACCACATCTGGAACCCCCATGACTCAAACACAGTGGTTGCAAAAATGTTCAAACATTGTTTCGCTTTTGTGGCCCACAGGTGTAACAAATTGCTTTTTGCCAAAATGCCCCAAATGCACTCTAGAGGATATGGAGGGCCTCTCCACCACATCTGAAGCCCCCATGACTCAAATACAGTGGTTGCAAAAATGTTCGATTGTTGTTTTGCTCCCCGCGCCTTCCAATATGTTCCAAAATGTCTACTTGGGATACAGGACGCATTTTCACAACACTTTGTAGGTACCCTAGGTCAATATTTTGAACTCCAAATAGGAGGGACAGGTCACCATGCCCTTAAAGAAACCTCACAACTAATGTTTGCTTGTTTCTTGAAACATGTGGACTAGTGATGCTCCCCTCCATTCATAACACACCACTGCAATGAATCCAAAACTAGACAAAATAAACTATAACAAAATTAGGGAGTGAGGTTTCAGCCTGTAAGACACAATAAATTCAGTAAGACTTATTTCTAACTATACCCATATTGCTTATCACCACTACTCACTTGTCTTTTCAAAAATGTTTTTAAAATGCCATTAATTTTAGAAAAGATGGATGGGGGATAACAAATTACATGATACATGTGACAGGTGCTTGAAAGGGAAAGATTAAAACACTCGTGGCTTTTGTCCAAGTCTTAATGCACTGTCCCCAGTTTGCAGCCATAGGACTGTAAAATTCATTCTAGCATTCATTCTAATGCTGATGTTTTAAAATGCAAGAGAGTTTCCAAAACTGTACTTCAAGTTGAACCTGTCAGTGTTTTTTCAATCTCTAATCCTCCATTTTGCCTTCGGTCACAAACTATTACTCAGCAGAACCAGAGCTTAATAGAGCATTGGCATGCTTACGTCTCTATTGGCCAATTTTACTGACTATGCTGGGTGGGGTAATCCAAAGAAAGTACAAATACAAATCCTCTTGATCAAAATAACTGCCATTTAACAAAACAAAAGAATTTGCACCAAATAACTATATAATTACCAGATTTCAGGTAGGTTGATATCCTTACCCATTCAAAAAACCATTTATTGACACACATCAGAGCCAACAACAGTTTCCATGTGGAAGGATAGATACTCTAAATCTCATGTGCCAATGCAAAGCCCACACAAAGGTCTTATTTTGGTGATCTCTCCAAACACACTTTTTAAAGAGTGAAGACTTGGCACAGACACAGAAAGAGCTAACACCAAGAAAAAGGGGGTGTTTTTGAGGACTCACAAAATATTCACAACACTATAATTTCAGCTCAGCTCTTCTAGGCACTCACCAGGTCTATATCATTCCATAAACTTCTTTCTACATCACTCATGTGAAACAGCATGTTTAGAGATGTATTATCACATAGACCCCTGTACATGGAGGATATTTGGATCCTGGAAACTTACATAGATTTAATGAATTGGAGAATCCGAAAAACTAGGGAATAATATGAGAAGAGTAATCATAAGTATTAATGATTTGGCAACCATGAGCAGAGGCAACTATTGGGTGTGAGCCATAATACATTTCAGTCCTTTTTTCCATTCACGGTTAATACAGAAATATTTGTACTTGAACTAATGGCCTCACTCAGACCACCCACAAAATGTGTATCCTTCAGTGCTCACTTACCTAATATGTACTAGAAGTCTAAATTTAAGTCTACATGAAAATTATGTCATGTAACTATGATCTTGATCCATACACATTCAACATCTAATGCATGAAACACTAATTTTCTAACAAAATTAAGTCAGAAAAGAGGAAAGAGAGCAGACACATTCATAGGAATATAGGGTGCCATTCATTCGGTTCCAAGTCCTAAAGCCACCACGGCTTTGAAGAAGGAAACCCCTCAGGGGCTAAAAAAGCAGGTGTAAGAGCTCTGACGCTTTCCTTCAAGAAGCACGGTTGGTCCTGGAATGTCATTTGCCTTCTCCTTAAACTGGGGAAGGAAGTAAAGACCAAACTGGACTTGCAAAACATCACAATAACTGCTAAAGACCATTAATTCACACACTTTTAATGCTAGCAATGCTTTGCATTTCAGTGAGACCAAGAAAACCGGGAACTTACTAGTATACTTCCTCCAGCTGTAGGCTGTCTTGCTAGACTGACACCCATCCATTCATCATCTCGGTCTTCTTTACATGTCTTCCCACAAGGCATTCCTGGAATGTTGGCTAAAACAAGGCCAGAAGAAAAATGAGATGATTTAATCAAGGTTAATCGTGATTTTGAATTTTTGAGAGCCAGTGTGATGTAGTTATCTGAGCGTTGGATTAGGACTGTGGGAGACCATGGTTCAAATTCCTCCTCAACCACGGAACCATGGTGAATGGGCTTAACAACAAAAAATAATCACCACAAAAGTAAACAGCAGAGCAGCTTATTTAGTAACAGCAGCATGACCCAGAACCAGTATACAGTATAAGACACAGAGACTATTGTTATCTTCCTTTGGAGGCCTTTCTTGTAGAAAAATATGGTTACAAAAACAACCAAGGTTTCCATAACATAAACTAAATTCTTTATACTTCCTTGTTATATCTTTGCTTCAGCTTCTTGCCTTCAAACTGGGCTTCTCTTTCATGTAGATAAAGAATATACAACAAACTTCAAACTGAAGCATCTCTCTCCTTGGAGTACTCAAACACAGCACTCCTTACACCGAGGCATTCTTCACACAGGAGGATCAAGTAACTCACAGGCACAGCTGCTTATATTACCCTACTGGTTTTGCTTAGTTACTAAATCATTTTAACTGTTTCAGTGCATATACATCACTTTTTGTAACTAAAAATACAGTTAATTTTCAGTGTTTCTGGCAGAATTTAGACATGTCATTCTCTCAGTTTCAGAGTAAGGCAAGGGTAAAGGCCCTTTGAACAAATTTGGCAAAGAAAGTCCAGTAATGGGTTTTCCTTAGGGCACATGTGTTAAACTCAAGGTCCGTGGGCTGAATCCAACCTGCCATGTCATTTCCTATGGCCCACCATATGCTGGAATACAAATCCCGTATTCCTCATCATTAGACACCATGACTCAAGCTAATGGGAATTGTGATATATTAACATCTAGAAGGCTGCAGTTTGCTCTGTTTAATCAGGACAGTGGGGGTTGAATTTAGATACAGGGTTTGTTTATGTGACTTTAAAATGTCCTTTCCCCAGCCTCAGAGCCACAAGTGCTTTGGATTACAATTCCCTTTTCTCCAGTCCACATGGTGGATAATCAAAAGTAACAGGAGTTGTCATATAAATTGCCCAAATTGGATTAAAAAATACTATGTAAAAAAAAGATAGTTAATAATAATAATAATACTTTATTTATACCCCGCTACCATCTCCCCAAGGGACTCGGTGCAGCTTACATGAGGCCGAGCTCACAATACAACAATACAATCAATACAAGCAGTAACAAATACAATACAAATAAATCTCATACACAAATAGCATAAACACTGAACAAGGTACAGTGTACATTTAAAATCTATGGCTGGGCCCTCTGTATCCACAGATTCTCTGTCCAAGGATTCAATGGCCCTTTGAGGACAACCATGAGCCCTCAATGGAAATGAGTTTGACACCCCTGCCTTAAGATTTCCATAAATCTGAAATTCCTTGAAGGTGCATAACAACCATAGTTAATTTTACCATTAGTTGTTATGTTTAGTGGAGCCTTTTTAACAGAAGGATATTATCAAAGGAATGCATTGTTCAAGCAAGCCAACAAGGTAATAAATGCCAATAATGATTCTGCCTCTAAATAACCACTTGTTGTTCATTCGTTCAGTTGCTTCCGACTCTTCGTGACCTCATGGACCAGCCCATGCCAGAGCTCCCTGTCGGCCGTCATCACCCCCAGCACCTTCAAGCTCAATCCAGTCACTTCATGGATGCCATCCATCCATCTTGCTCTTGGTCGGCCCCTCTTCCTTTTTCCTTCCATTTTCCCCAGCATCATTGTCTTCTCTAAGCTTTCCTGTCTTCTCATTATGTGGCCAAAATAGTTCATCTTGGCCTCTAATATCCTTCCCTTCAATGAGCAGTCGGGCATTATTTCCTGAAGTATGGACTGGTTGGATAAGCACTATCTCAGTCGAAATGTGCAAAACACTAATACCAATTTGGTGAAGATAGTGGTAAAGGAAATCAATTTCTAAGAAATCAAAAAAAATAGTTTATGTCTTGTGTTTGGGTGACATGGGTGAGAAGAATAACCTTCTGCCCAGTCAAACACAGACACAGTGAGCTTTAAGGGGCTGCAAACTTTCAGCAATGCTGATATACAGCCGCCTAAAATATTATCAGTATTGCATGGAAACCCAAAGGAATTTCTGAAGCAGCAGAGGACAGCAAAGCAAACCAATGTTACAGGAAGAGCAACTGTGATTCTCCTCCGACATTGATAATATCCATACCATCATGGATTTTTACTAATTCAGTAAACAGGATGTACCCATACATACGTACCTCGGCCCATGTCCAATTCTGTGCACCTCCTATCAGGATTAGTGTGAACTCTGCATTTAAAAACAGCTCCCGGAGACTTAAGTGAAGCACTGTATTTAGAATCTGCCTTTGGGGCACCAACCAAGATCCTGAAATTCAAGAGCAAAGGAATGCTTTGTTAACACTTCAAGAAATGAATATACAAGTTTCACGGGGTCAGTTCTTTTTGTGACAAGCTTGGTTACCCTACCAGACATGGAAAACACTGTAGAGTTATTTTTTCAACAGGTCAAAGAATTTTCTTTTGACAGATCTATAAATTCTTTGGACCGAAAGTGATGCAAGAGGCATAGGAAATGGGGAAATTTTGGGGAAAGAAAAATAACAGCAGATATATATATATATTTCCCTCTCAGCTACAAATACAAAGCCTCTCAAATCAAATTAATATGGGATGTAGATTATGACTAAGTCTTCTGTTCAGCCAACTTCGTCTGGTTCCAACACACTCTGTTTTCTGTACTCAGAAAACAAATTATCCACTGTACATGAATGAACAAGACTTCAGCTTGATAGTATGGCTGGGCCCTCCAAAGCTAAGTTTGTATGAAGTACTGCATTAATATTTCAGCTATGCCGGTAGCAAGGAAGCATGTTTCCTCTATTAAATGTAAATTTTTAAATGACATTCCAAAAATACTTTAGAACTTGGGACAACTTTTCAAATAGATGATAAAAAAAATCAACAGCCAAGTATGTTCATGGATTAGGGAGTCTTTCACACTACATAATAAAAGCATTTAGGTTCCACTATAACTGCCATGACTACATCCTATGAAATCCTGGGATTTTCAGTTTATTTAGAATCTTCACCCAGAGAGCTCTAGTGCCTTACCAAAGTACAAACCACAGGGTTCCGCAAAATACAGCCATAGCAGTTAAATAGGAATCATACTGATGTAATTGTACCATGTGAATGAGTCATTGCTTAGACTTGGGGTTAAGAAATAGGTTAAATCCATACTAGCATCTACATTCTAAGAATTTTTTCTGTAGTATTCTAATAAAAATAAATATCTCTATTTGTATGACGGCAGTATGATTGTGAATTTTAAATGCAGTTTTAATTCTAAGGTAAAAGTAAAGGTTTCTCCTGACATTAAGTCTAGTCGTGTCTGACCCTGGGAGTTGATGCTCATCTCTATTTCTAAGCCGAAGAGCTAATGTTGTCCATAGACACCTTTAAGGTCATGTGGCAAGCATGGTTGCATGGAGCACTGTTACCTTCCCACAGAAGTAGTACCTATTGATCTACTCACATTGCATGTTTTTGAACTGCTAGGCTGGCAGAAGCTGGGGCTAACAGCTGGAGCTCACCTCGCTCCCTGAATTCAAACCCGCTGTGCCACCAGGGCCCCCTTTATTGTATTTATTATATTTAAACTGTATTTTAGCCTGAATCCACAGAGTTCTATTTACTGGGGTGGGGGGTAAGTTTTGTATTCACTTTGTTTTAAACCATAACTAAAGTATGTGGTTGTAGTTGTGTTGAGTCCCCATGGGGAAAAAGGTGAGATATAAATAAGGTAAAGAAATAATGCGAACTAAATACAGTCAGTCATCTGTTTCCACAGGTTCTGCATATTCCTTCATCAAACCCCCTCTACAAAACAATCCAAAAAGCAAACCTAAATTTTGTCATTTTATACAAGGTACACTACACAATTGCACACAATGTGACTTAGCATCCACAGCTTTTGTTATTCATAAGGAATCCTAGACACAAACCTCCAACAGATGCCAAGGCCCACTATACCCACTGTTGGATGCAGGCCTCATTCGCAACAATAGATTGGTTCATTTATTTACAGTTCTGTGTATACCATGGATATGAACAGTGTGGACTTTCAGATGTTGTTGAACTGCAATCATTCCCCATCATTGCTGGCTGGGACCACTGGGAATTGCAGTTCAACAAGATTGGTGAGGCCATACAACCTAATATCCTATAGAACATTCTGGTAGAGATCCTACCTTGGGTCATCAGGAAGGTTTTAGGGGAAATGGAAGCAGATCGGGACTGATAATATACAACAAGTTGACAATATACAACAAGTTGATTTAGTCTGAATGGAACATATATTCAAGGTCTACTATGTTCTGAATAGAACATATATTCAAGTTCTACTATGACTTTCTTGTCACTTTTGCATGAACAAAGAAAACCTTTGCTTTATCAGATCACAGAAGACACAAATAAAACACCAATATGGTTTCAAGAGACTTGAATATATTTATCTTATATTATGTAGTTTATTCGTTCAGTTGCTGCCAATTCTTCATGACCTCATGGACCAGCCTATGCCAGAGCTCCCTGTCGGCCATGGCCACCCCCAGCTCCTTCAGAGTCAAGCCAGTCACTTCAAGGATACCATCCATCTATCCATCCCTTTGTTGGCCCCTCTTTCTTTTTCCTTCCATTTCCCCCAGCATCATTGTCTTCTCCAAGGCATTCTCATAGCTGTCCTCCAGCACCACAGTTCAAAAGCGTCTATCTTCCTTCGCTCAGTCTTCCTTATGGTCCAGCTCTCACATCCATAGGTTACTACGGGGAATACTATTGTTTTGAATATGTGAATCTTCATTGCCAGTGTGATGTCTCTACTCTTCACTATTTTATCGAGATTGGTCATTGCTCTCCTCCCAAGAAGTAAACATCTTCTGATTTCCTGGCTGCAATCTGCGTCTGAAGAAAGCTTTGCACCTAGAAATACAAAGTCTGTCACTGCCTTCACGTTTTCTCCCTCTATTTGCTGGTTATCAATCAGTCTTATATTCATACACAAATAATTTTATAAACTCACTTTCTAAAGATGCTAGACTAGCATTCTCCATGGGGCTCTTCTGTCAACAAGTGAAGACTTTTTTCTTTTGACAGGCGCTTGGAAACAGGATTATTATGTAGAAAGGAGTCTAATAATATAATGAACTGTTTTATTATTATTTTATTTATTTTATTCCTTAATTAATATGCTTTTAATTCTATGAACAGTTGAATCGGATTTTAACAGATGAGAACTTTTATCCGTATTTGTTTTCAACTTTACAAGCTGTCTTGACAGCCAGCATTGTATAGTGGCTTGAGCACTGGACTAAGACTCTGGAGACCAGGGGTCAAATCCCTGCTTAGCCATTAAACTCACTGGGTGACCTAGGTCAAGTCATATCCCCTTGGCCTCAGAGGGGGACAACAGGAACCTCATCTGAACTAATCTTGCCAAGAAAACCCCATGATAGGGCTGCCATAAAACAGCTTGAAGTCACACAACAAAAAAGACTACCTTGAGTTCCAGGGCTTGGGGAAAAGATATAAAGAAATAAAGCAATATCCACAATCATAATTTATTCAGATATGAATGTTCAAACTACTGTTTCACACTCAATGGCTTTACTTAGGCAAAAAGAAAACTACTTAAAACAAATGTTAAAGAGGAAAACACTTTATTCACATTTCTACTTCTCCTGAGTTTCAGAGGCTGAACTGTCAAAATCATACAATTTTGAGAGAACCTTCAAATGAGACATGTTTTCACAAGTGAGAACAATTAGTGTGTGAGATACTTAAATTATGAAAATGTACAAAGCTGACAAAAAAGAGAGAAGCGAACACAAGGGAGTCTGAAATGGCAGCTCGAAATACAGATGTCAAGGATCAACTACTAAGCTGGGGTAGAGAGGGAATGCCAATCATCTCCCTTAAATATATTGTATGAATGAATGCCATTCATTTAACTTATTGACATCCATGAGTTCTGAAAACAAATAAGCAATGAAAGAAACACTTTTATTTCACAGCCATCTGGTTTTACATTATATATGGTTGGTTAAAAAAAACATATTTCAATAACCTACTGTAAGATAAAGGAAGCCGAAGGCCAATTGCAGTTGTTTTACCTTCGGTTTCATTAGAAAGACAAATACACACACTATTCACCAAGACAACAAAAATCCTGCAAGAATATTTAGTGGCCAATCATTTAATGGCAGGGGAGTGTGAGGGAGGAAATAAGCTTTTAAAATAAAGGAAATTACACTGCAACAAAAATAAATATATGTAGTCGTGAAATCTGTGAACATTCATTTTGCATATAATGACCAACAAATCTTGAAAAAAAAGAAGTCTCAACTGCTCTTGGGGAGAAATGTGTGCACCCACTGTTCCATAAGAAAGATGCTAACACTGGAAAGGCCACTTATCCAACCTTATTTAACAACATAATCAGAGAAACAAATGTAGTGTAGTGATCTGAGCATTGGACTATGAATTTGGAGATCAGGGATCAAATTCCCACTTGGCTATGAAATCCGCTGGGTGCCCTTGGGCAAGTTACACTCCCTCAGCCTCAAAAGAAAGCAATAGCAAACCCCTTCTGAATAAATCAGGTCAAGAAACCCAATAATAGGATTGCCTTAGAGTTGCCAGAAGTCAAAAAGGTACACAACAACAACAAATCAGAGAGGAAACTTTGTGACGATCTTAATTTCTAAGTAATGCCAAGATGAAAACACAATCCACTGCTTTTTTCCCCCAGATTGCTTTATTAGGATCTCAAGAACAACAGATGAAATATATGAGTATTTCAGACTGCATCAGCTTCTGCTCAAGCCCTCACTAACACCTAAAGAGAGGGGCAAAGAAGACAGTGCCATCTTGTCTTCAGTGTCATCAGTTGGGAGCCCCTCCCCCCAACACCAACTGCTACTCTGGGACCAGAGTAAAGAGAGGGGCCCAAGAAGATATTGTATTTATTTTATTTATGGTATTGTATATTACTTGTAAGCCGCTCTGCGTCCCCTTCGGGGTGAGAAGGGCGGCATATCAATGTCATAAATAAATATACAGCATGTGTGGTGGGGTGGGGGGATTTCACCTGCAAAAAAATGTTACATTCGATGGCCTCTTAAACTATGGGTCCCGACCCCAAATGGGGTCCCCTTAGCTCAATATTGGGTTTCCGGGGGAAAAATTCTGAATGCCATAGTGGCTGATTTAGACATGAATCTGTTGTGCACAGTTTACAGTGGAGTTTGCAGACGATGTTTCAGCTATACTTCATAAAATGGAAAATCAGCATGTTTAGCAAGCCTT